TTTAAGCCCTCTCTTCTCAAATAAGCTGGACAGACTTCCATGACCTTAACAGATATTGTGGTAGGATTTTGGAATTATGAGGTTTAGACAGTTATTAGTATAATTTGTGATACTGGAATAGTTCTTGCAGGTAAGAAAATAAAAATCTTGCATTTGCTTTGATTCTGAAGTAAGGCCCAATCTGCTTCAGTGAGTCTGAGTTAAACCCACAGCCTCTAATAGAAATGATGGTGGACAAGCAGCAGCTTAATGATGAACCAGGAATAAAGCACTCTTCTAGAACCTTTCTATATACTTGACACAACCAGGAAACACCCTGCTTTGATTTGTTTCTAAGCATTAATCAACTGTAGAAAGGATGTATAGGTGCAGAATTTTATTGTGTTGTATTAATAATTCAATGAAGAAGTTTTTATTTTAAGAACTCCTGCTATATCTATACATATAAAAGCCCAGTGACCTGAACAGCATAACAACCAGAATGGCTGGAATGACCAGTGGCTATGAGGTGCACTGTGGCAGCCAAACAGCCTGATCTGGCTCCAATCGCTGCCACCCCCCATCGCCCAGCCCAGCCTCCAATCATCCCCCAACACCCCAATCTGGGGCATGGCTGGCTGGCCAATTGCCCATGGTCCTTCCCCCTGGCCAGCCAACCACCCTTGGCCTCTCCCCTCCACCGGCCCAGCCCAAGGGGCTCCCATCGGGGCAGGCCAGACGGACCCACCCATGCATGAATTCGTGCACCAAGCCTCTAATATAGATATTTTAAAAGTGTCTGCCCTGGCTGGTGTGGCTCAGTTGGTTGGAACATCATCCCAGGCACCAAAGGGTCACAGGTTTGATTCCCAGGGAACATACATAGGCTGTGGGTTTGATCCCATTGGGGCATGTACAGGAAGCAAACAACTGATGTTTCTCTCTTTCTCCCTCTCTGTCTCTCAAATCAATTATAAAAATATATCCTCAGGCCCTGACCAGTTTGACTCAGTGGCTAGAGCGTCGGCCTGTGGACTGAAGAGTCCCAGGTTCGATTCCGGTCAAGGGCATGTACCTTGGTTGTGGGCATATCCCCAGTAGGGGGTGTGCAGGAGGCAGCTGATCGATGTTTCTCTCTCATGGATGTTTCTAACTCTCTATCTCTCTCCCATCCTCTCTGTAAAAAATCAAAATATATTTAAGATATACATATATATATACACACACATATATATACATATACATATATACATATGTACATATATATATATATATATATACACACACATCCCCTCAGGTGCAGATTTAAAAAAAAATGTTTTTTTAAGGTGTCTGCTCTCCCACCATTTTCTGTCATTTCTTTAAGAGACCAGGGAAGAAATGACAGAACAGACTTCTTCTTTTGCAAACACAGGAACCATGGCAATGTGTGTTTCTTTTTGCTTTGTTTTACATTTCACATACTTTGGTGGATGTTGGATTTTGAGTCTTTTTTTTATTTTTGTCTTTCCTTACCCTGCTGTGAAGCATTTAGGTGGTTTTATATTTCTGCCACTTCTCAATTTGTTTATAGCCCTTGTTTTGATGTGGCTTCCTTTTAAATTCAAAAATAAATAAAAAACTTTAGTAAAGGGTCTAAAAAGAAACAATAATCCCATTGTTTTCCATATTTTTATTATCTATATTTTACACACACAAAATCCAACATGCTAACATGCTAGGCTTCTTCCGTGAGTAGGAGCCCACTTTCCATCACATGCCGTCATTGCATTTCATCAAGCCCTGGAAGTCGTTAGTTAAGGAAGAAAGGGTTTCCTTGTTTAAGTGGCTCCATTCAGACATGGTGGTGAAGTCTTGGTTTTGAAATCAGATCTTGTTTTGTAATTTACAAATATCTCCCACCTTCTTTAAAAAACAACAACAAACAAACACCTCTACCGGTAAGTTCTTAGGGAACTAAGACACTGTTTGGATTTCATATTAAATGATTTGGCTTTTTGTCTTTGGATCTTTTCCTAGTTTTTGGACTGAGAAATGCCTTCCTTATTCAACATGAAAGCCGGTATCGACAGTGCATAGCAGCATTCTTATTGCAAGCCCAAACAGAAAACATCAAAGTATGTATTTTAATTTTGTAGGTTTTGATTCTTTAAACTTGATGGAAGGAAAAATCTCAACCCCAAGTCTAAGTAAAGGTGAATGGAAAGTTTTGTGTATTTCCCTCACCTGCTTTGGGAAGGACAGACACTAGGAGGTGGGGAGGAATAGGGACATCTAGTCCACATCATGCTCAGAAATCTCAAGGTGACAATCCCCGCCCACTCGCAGAGTTGCCACGGTCCCTCATTTCTCCTGCGGCAGAAAGCTCCAGAACGACTTCTGATTCTACTTTCCGTATGAAATGGGGGGAGGGCTGCTTTGGATTGTATGCTTGGCTTTTAAGATGCTCCAATCAGTTTCTGAAGTCCTGCAAATAATTTGATGTCAACTTAGGTGAGGAGCTGCTGCAGCAATGAACCATGACAAGCAGTCTACTCTTTGACCTTTGAAAATAATGCCAGTTTTCACAGCAATGGAGTTGAAGATAGACTGCCTGACTATGGTTCCTTTATCTTAGAAGTTTCCATTTTTTATCTTTCTTTTGGTAGGCTTTCATCACAGTAAAAGGGTGGCCAGATAATGAATGCAATATTGCATTCTCTTTAAGGACTCAGTTTCCTGAGTCATCTCCCTCAATCTCTTTTTCAAATTATATCATTAGTTAAAGAACTTCTAATTCCAGACAAAACAAATTTAATGTTCAAACTATTTATATTCTAATTAGTCATAATTGATTATTATGGTTCTTTGATTACTCATGACTACCCCACTTGCCTAACATACTCATTTAATCCAATTGCATTTTCATACATAATTAGAGATATTGATGATATATTAGATGTAAGAAAAGAAAATGGGAAGCATGCAAGTGTTTCATTAGTCCTCCGTTTTAAAGAGCAAGTCAATAAATACAAAGGGAAAGATTAATCCAAGTGTGAAAAAATTGTCAAGTTAATATTTTTCTCTCTCCCCTTTTTCTCTCCCCTCACCGCCCGCCCCCCGTGTGTGTGTGTGTGTGTGTGTGTGTGTGTATTTGTTGTTTTTGTTTTACAGAAAACATGGATGGCACAAATAACAGCAGCAATCTCTTGCTTCACCAAGAGTCAGGAAACCAAGAAAATATCTTTATTCAGATCATCCACAGAATCCTCTGAAATTTAGGGACCTAAAACTAATTTTTTAGAAATGAAGGATAAAGGTCTTCTTTCAAACTTTTGTAACACTTAGTGATGAGCTAGAAGAAAATGTGTCTTTTAAAGGAGTTCCAGAATTTGCGTGAAGAAAATCCTCAGTACAGAGAAATGATGACTGCAACAAATTTGAATTCTGGGGAATTTCTTGTCAAGTATATACTGATATCCAGACTACCTTAAAATGCTTCGGTCAGACTTATAAGAGGTGTGAGTGAAGTGTGATGCTGTTATAATTTGTAAAGGGTGAGTGATCAGTTGTTCACTGTTTGGAGTGGCAAGAGGAAAATGTTTGTGTCCAATATGAATTCTAGCATCTTACTTTGTGTATACCTATAATGAAACCAACCTCCCCACATGGCTTATAAATCACATACTGCTTTATAGTCCTGCCTCACACATAGATCATTCTTTTGACACAAAGTTTGATTGCTCTTTTAATATATTAAGTGATAAATAAGGTCCTCATTTTAAAAGCAGTTTTTAAATTCCAATTCTCACAGTTCACTTATCTCAGGTATCTACACTAATAAAAGAGAAACATGCAAATTGGTGTCCCTCTGCTATGACCACCAGCCAATCAGAGTGACTATGCAAATTAACCAACAAAGATGGTGGTTAATTTGCATACACAGCGTGGAGCAAAGACTGAAGGCTCCGGCCAGAGTGAAGACTGAAGACAACTGAAGACCTAAGAGGCTTGGCTTCTCCGCTGCATCTGGACCAAAGGCCTGGGTCCTGGGTGCCAGAGGAAAACCGGAGCCAGCAGCCAGGGGAAGGAAGGCCTGTTGCACGAATCCCTTCGTGCAACGGGCCTCTAGTATTTCATAATACTCTAACTTGGAAATAGGAAATCCCAGACTAAACTCCGTTATTAAAAAAGAAAATGTTTCAGTTTTACATGTTAACGCTTTTACATGGGAAATTGTCTTAGGGATAGTAAAATATCTTTCTCTAAACCTCATTTTTTAAAGAATGGTTTGTCATAAAATTATTTTCTGGTTTTGAGGATGGGGTTGTGTGTTTTATCATAGTACAGCCACCTAATTTTACTTAGCAGAACTTGAAATTTCATTAAATTTTTATTTAAAAAGGCATCTTGAATTATTTTATCATATGGTTAGATTATATCAAATGAAAATCCACAAATTTCAATTTCAACCATGGTGTCTTGAGCAATTTCCAAAATGGAAGTAGTAAATTTATCAACCTAGGATGGAAGACATGATACCTTAACTGACCTCTTCAAGTTGGAGAATGGGACAAAGAGGATGATGTTTAGGGAAGTCATGTGTACAGTTAATGCTTTGAAGAAAAGGCTAATTTCACCACACAAACAGCAGTATAGACAAGTGTAGCACAAAGGCTCTTGTGCACAGGCCTAGCACTATTGCAATGGAGGGTCATCATCTTTGTATAATAATGTCAGAAATTTGGAGGAGTAAGTGAAAATAAAAGGAAAATCTAGAAAGCAGTAACTACTGTTAAAGGCTAAAAATAAATGAGAGGGAGAATAGGCTTCAAGTGAATTCCTAGAGATGGGACCTAGATGACATTGAAAGCAATTTATATTCAGGACAAGACAATACTGACTTATGCAAGAAAAGACTTAGGGGGGGAAAATTTATATATATAATTTTAGAAAAAGAAATTAACAATCATCTTAGAGATTTTTAGATATAAGCTGACTTCGGAGAAGGACAATGGACTAGAAATAGGCAATCTTTCAAGATTCCTTTAGTTCCATGAGTCCAGTAACCATGTATTTATATGTATAAAGGACTAGTTTCTTCCTAAAATATCATTAAAGGAGACTGACTAAATTAACATCAAGAATGTAAAACAGCTTAAGAATATGCTATATACAATAGCCAATATGCGGAAAAAAAACTTTAATGTCCACTGACAGATGAATGGATAAAGAAAATGTGGTATATATGTATAGAATGGAATACTATTCAGCTTCCAAAAAGAAGGAAATTCTGCAATATGCAACAACGTGGATGAATCTTGAAGACATCATGCTAAGTGAGATAAGCCAGTAGCCAGTCACAGAAAGACAAATACTGTATGATTCTACTTGTATGAGGTATCTAATACTAGTCAACTTCCTATAATCAGTGTATGAAATAGGGGTTGCCAGTGAAATAGAGAGGGAAATGGGCAGTTACTAATCGACAGGCTTGAAGTTTCAGTTAAGCAAGATGAGTAAGCTCTAGAGATCTACTGTACACTTAAAAAGAGGTCATAAGAGTAGATCTCATGTTAAAATTAAAAAAAAGAAAATGCTATATATGTAAAAGGGATTTCTATAAAGCTCACAAAAGAACATGTCTAATATGTAATATATTAAGTGCTTGAGGACATACACAGTATACTCCTCAGAAGGAAGCGTATTAGAATAAAATGAAAAATATCTCTATAACTGGGTTCGGGGTGGGGGGAGGTGCAGTAAAAAACAATGCTATTTTGAGCCTTCAAAGAGTATCTTTAAAAGGTCACCTGGGTATTAAATTAGATATACAACAAAAAAATTAATTTAATATTCTTCAGTGTTTTTTTTTTTAGTTTTGCTAAATTTCACAATGATGAATGGAATGAAAAGGGAATGTCTCAAGCAAAATGACATCAGTAATTTTTCTTGAAATTGTAAACTTCATTGTTATTCTAAGTTGAACATTAAAGCATACTCACTGTCTATATCCAAGTGCAAAGTTCTAACATTCTGTAAATAAATTAATGCAAAATGGTTAATATCTTGTTCTTTTTTTTAATAGACAAAATAATTTGTAGCCACAGAATACATCTACTAGAAAGAAATGTTTTTAATATCATCTTTAACATATTAAAAAAACAAAAGCAACAATAAGGATCCTTCCATTGATCTTTATACAGATTTAAATGCTGTCATGTAATTTATTAGTTACATTTATAATCAATAACCTTCAATCACTGAGTTTAGAAATTACAGTATTTTTTAGCTAAACTCTCTCACAAATAAGGCACAACAACATGATCACAAGTAGTAAACACAATACAAATAATGAATCCAAAAACTAAACAAGAAAATGCTCATGCAAAAGTATCTACAGAGGATATGAATATGTGATCCAGCTCAAAGAAATACAGAATGTCATATACATAACTGCATCATGTTACAATAAATTCATTACTCCTACACTGGAAGAACTTCACTATTTCCGATTCTATTTTACACAATTTTACATAAATTTAGTAAGTTTATGCACAATATTCACATCTGCAACATTAACAAACTGATTGTTAAAATTCAGGCAAAGGGAAATTAAGACACGCTAATGTGTGGCATATTATAATTACAGAATACCATTCATCACACTCATGTCTAGGAATACTAAATTGACGGCACATTTAAATCTTATAGAACAAGTCATTCATGGTTTTATAGCCAAAGTGCATTAAAAAAATTCTATAGTCAATAGATCATGAATATCAAAATATATGATCATAATTTGCTCTCCACTTAAAAGCTAAACATTTTTATGCAAATGCAAGGTTTAAAAAAAAGTGAATTTAAAGTTCTCAAAACTATAAAATAACCATAAAGCCTTTTAAAGAGAGATGGGAAACAAATTTGGCAGTTACTATTTAACATTACTGTGAGGAAACTATTAAACTAGCTAATTCCACATTAAGAGGTAGTTGAACAAAATGTTATTTGTACACTGCTTTGAGGTTTTTGTGTTTGTTTCCCTTTGTTTTCTCAAAATGAACAAATCCCATACGAGCAGCTTTGTCTTCTATTAAAAAAAAAATCCATAGGTATAGTTTACTATACACTAACCCATCAAGACTTGATCTTAGCTCACTTTTCTGTGCTGCGGTTTGAAATTTACTAACACGTGATGCTAATATGCTTTGCATTAGAGCTGAGATCTGGGCTTCTACACACAGTCTAACTCACTGATGAATAGTACCAGCAGACATCAAAAATGTAGAGCCAATAAGGACTTATATGACTTTTTTAACTAAAAGAAAAAGAAAACCCTTTGTTGTTTTCAAAAATCTTAAATTGGTGACAGTTAACAACAAAAATATTAAGTTTCACTTCTAGTATTATTAGTACAATAGCCAATGGTAAATTATTCAGAACCTATGAAATGAGATTAGCTAGATGAAAACTAGAAAATCATTCTAACATATACAATTTTATTTGTTGCCCCCACAACTTTTTAAATTTATTTTTGTGTAAATATGTGGGTAGGGCAATAAGGGAAAAGGCCTTCAATGCACCTAATTAGGAGATGAAGTGAACAAATATTCTAATCTAGAAGAATTCTCATGAAGTTTTATTATCTTAAAAGAATAAACGGTGCTGTGAACATCTATTTTTTCCAACACATTTATCAAGTCCCTTATATGTAAAAGTATAGAATTAATACTATTTGAAAGGATTTATAAGTATGCAAAAATACATAAATAATTTTAGCTCAATTTATATTATCCAGGTATTTTTAATAATGAGCCATCATATTTCTTCATTATATATGTTAAAGGTTATATGTATATCCAAGTTCAGAGCTTCAGTCAGGATCTTTAATAGCTACTTACAACATGGTTTACTTAAATGGTTTTTTTTAATGATTGAATATGTAGCAATCACTTTTAGTTTATATATATTGTTGGTATAGCATAAACATAAGTTCATTTCATTTCAGTATATTTGAAAGCAAGTATATATATAAACTACTTATTGTAAATAAAACATTAACTCCCATCTTTCCTATTACTACCAAATAATTGCACTGAAAAAATGTATAACTTTACATTTCTTCTCTAGAAAGAGTAATAAACCATTATTAATGATTTCCCTCTTCAGATGTTTTCTAATTTTCCAAATTAATAAGACTATGATAACTTAAAGTTCAATTACATTGATCAGCATACAAATAAGCTGATTTTTAATTATCCTTAATTAGCCATTCTGTTTTAATTCTCATGGCAACTTTGGGATTCCTAAATACATTTGTTTCTAGTGAAACTCTACTCTCCAGCTATCACTTCAGGGTAATTTCACAGCATTATTTTTGCAAAGTAAAAAGATTTACTAGTTGATATGGAACCCAAATTCAGAACCATTTTAAATTTAAGCTCACAACTTTTAAAATTCTCCCCTATAATTAGGTAAAAAGAAAGTATAAAGTAAAATATTTAATGTCTCCTTACCATTTTGCATTTGGTTTTCACAGATAAGAATATAGCAACATCAGTTACTGGCTTTAAGACACAAAAATTATAAAACAATTACCATGGATCTGAGCTATACTTGGGAGGGTTAAACCAAATTAAAGAAAAAAGCAGATCCACTGAAAAAGCAAACTCATTCCTGAAGATGCTAGAGAGACAAAATGAGGAAATAATATGAAAGCTAATGTCAGAAGACCTCCCATTTATAAGAAACTGAGAATTGGACCATTAGACAATTTCTATTATTCATCTTCCAACCTAGGGTGAGGGTGGGAAACTTTGTAGGATCCTTAACGGAGAATAATTTGGAGTTTAAATTTGAGAATGAAAAAGAA